CCGAGCGTAACGACCAGGACGACGAGTGGTCGTCTTGGCGTACTTCCTGGCTTTTTTGCGGTATGTTTTCTTGTACCGCTTGACATAAGTTCGCTTCCGCTTAGGGTAGCTTCGGGAGGAGTACCCCGGCTTACGCCGAGGAGCCTTCCGTCGAGAAAACTTAATAACCATATATAGGGTTTGTTGTTATCTCCAAACGAGGAGATGAGAGTTCAAGACAAGAACAACACAACTTAGTTTCACACAGTTCGCAGAACGAATTTTATTTATAGGCCATTTTGGCCACGCTGACTAATACAAATAAAAAAAAAACTAGAACCCCCGGCGCTCCTCAATGAGGGCCGCAAATCCACCCCTGGTGGGAGCAGCGTAGGAGATGTCCTCCGCCATGTAAGCACTAACCCTAAAAAAAGCTGCCTGCAGCTCCTCATAGTAGTACTTAGCTACCAAGTGGCCTATGTAGTCGGTCCTAAGTCCGTCTACACTACTGTAGCTATTCATGAGGGGGTCCACGTTCCGGGGGGTCATTTGCGGCATCGACATGAAGATGATGCGTCTAATGGCCTCACGGAGGCTTTTCCTACCCGCCGCCGATATGGGCTGACGTGGTGCGCGCCGGCGGCGGCGTGAGGGCGGGTGGTAGGGGGGAGAGTCTGACGGGGTCGAAGGTGATAGGCGTCCCTCTGAAGGGGTCGACGCTGGGGCCGGGGAATCGGACTCCGACTGCGCCCGCGACCTGGCCCAAGGAGCCGGGGTGGGGGGGCGATGGTGCTCCCAGCGAGCGTCGGAGGAATGGGCGGAATGAACGGGACTCCCTGCATCTCTGCGGGATCCTCTTCGATCATCTCCTCCCCTGGGAGGGGAGGATCCGGAAGAGGACGACCCAACAACAGACCGGTTGCCAGATCCAACTCCACCTTCAGATCCACCGCTTCCTGCCGTGCGGTACGCAGGCGAGTCTGCAGACTCCTCTTCTGAATCGTCAGGTCCTGAGCCCTCTGACGATGTATCTCCAACTGATACTTGGCGTTGATGACCGCAGCCCCGCGGGTGAGCTCCCGGGACTGCAGAGCCCGCACAACGCGGTCCTGAGCATTGAGCTGAGCGTTCAAACACCACGTGCACCTGGACAGGATGTGGGGACTCGCGTACGCCGCCTCTTGCGAGAAGCGTTTCCAAGGGCACTGCCTACAAATCGATTAGAAAAGTTTAAAAGGTTATTAAAATACTCACCGACCTCTCAAGGGGGGAGAAGGCCGCCTGGCGCTCAAGTCGCTCAACGCGACGAATCGCCTGGAACGTGACGGAGCCATCCTCAGGCTCAGGGGCGAGGTCGTGGACGGAGGTGACCTCATCCAGCTTGAGGTCGGAGTAGTGGGGGCCCTTGTAGGCGTGAATGTGGGGGGCGAACTGGGTGGGCATCACGGGCTGCGCCGCCGCTCTGTACACCAGGGATGAGGCGAGGTTAAAAAGAGAATAAGGAAATACTAACGGTTGGGGGGAGGGGGACATATCCACCTCTTCCTCCTTGACAGTGGTGAGGGGCTGGTTCTGGGCGTAGTCGGAAGGCATTGCGATGATTGTAGCGGTAACGATGTAAGTTGTGCTGGATATTTCCGAGGAAAGCGTCGGCCTTTTAAACGGGGTTTGGATCTCCGCCCAATTAAATAATGGTACGATGTTTATTATAAACGAAATGACGCGATACGACATTATCGTACGATGCCGGGGATCGGTGACAGCGTGGGTGGCGAGGAGGGGATAGAGCGGTGGCGACGGAAGAACTATTCTTAGAGTCAGACGTGGGATGTAGATTATTATAGACGACGAGGGTTTTAGAAGAGAGACGAACGGCGCTTCTATCTCCACAGCCTGTTTCCACGGCTTTAGAAGCGAGCGTGAGAGGTCTCTCACGTCGGGATTCCTCCGTGACAGCGTGGGTTCGTTCCGTTAGAGCGGAAAGAACACGTATACGACATTTGACGAAGGAAGCGAGCCATGGGAATTCTCCCACATCAAAAACAAGCGGTGCTTGGGAATTCTCTCACACTACGTAACTCCGTGAGACTCGAAATACCTTCTTTCCATTAATAGCGCAGGGAATACTACTAACTTTGGAAAGGGATTTGGGGTCGTCCACGGACAACTACCACATATAGTAAACTCACACGAAATCGAGCGATCCTATTGGTCGCTAGGTGGACATTGACCATATTAAGACGGGTACATTACCAAATAAGGAGTGGGTATGGGTAGACCGAGAACCCTTTCAATGTTATATAAGGGTTCTCGGCGTCTACCACATATAAAAGGCGTGGCCTTTGACCCACTGTTCCGACATTCCCCACCAACGATGTTTTCGTCCTTCCGCTTGACTCAGGCCCCTGGCCCTTCGACTCAGCCCTTCGCTGGCACATCGTCTCAGATAGAGGCATTTTCTCAACCCCCTTCGCCGTCGCCCGTGATCGAGTGGTCGCCGACGCCATCGGCGCAGCCTCGACGCCTCGCACCTCGACCTCGGGTGCTAGTACCCGCGACGCCGGAGCCATCTCAGGCGTCCAGTTTGGTCCAACGCACGCAGACGCAGCGGGGGGCACGCCGGCAGGCGGGTAGGAGCGCGCCAGGCACGCGCTTCCGCTTCTCCGCCGCAAAGTATTTTATGACGTACTCTCAGGTAATTTTGAAGAAATTGGAATCAATTTGTTCAAAATTAACGTTCTAAAGATAGGTGACGTCGACAACGGCACTTTGTGCCGCTTCTTCGCCGACTTCTCCGTGCCTATCAAGCACTGGAAGGCGGTGGAGGAGCATCACGTGGACGGTGGACGGCATTGGCACGTCATCGTCGTGTTCGAGACCGCATTCCGTGGTAGGAACGAGCGGATATTCGACATAGAAGGTATACATCCGAACATACAAGTGTGCGTACCTCCATTCTGATCTATTTATAAACCTGACTTCTTTTCACAGCATCAGCGGCAACAAGGACCTTCTCGCCAAGTGGAATTACATCCACAAGGAAGAAGGCGCCGCCTTGCTCGGCCCTTGGGAGGGACCCGAGCCGATTACCGTCGATACCGACATCAAGAAGAAGGACGACCGATGGGCCCACATCCTCGAGGCCTCTTCGGCCGACGAGTTCATGGAACGAGCGCGTGCACTGGCCCCCTACGATTACACGATCAACCACGATCGGATAATCAAGTATAGGAATACGTACTTCCCCGAGGCTAAACCGCAGTTCGTGCCGGAGAGCATCGACTTTCCGCACGTGACAGCGGAGATGGAGGAGTGGGTCGAGACCCAGTTCCATAACAGGGATAGGCCCAAGTGCCTCGTCCTGTACGGTCCCTCTAGGACGGGGAAGACTCAGTGGGCGCGTGCGCTCAATCACATCATCGCTCGCCAGGAAGGGGTCGACGACCCTTGTCATATCGGTACGTAGTTACCGGTTTGAATCATTTTATCGCAACTCACGTCTTTCAGGCACACATGTTTATATGGCCAACCAGTTCAACGCCAAGAAGATTGACGAGACGGCGAAGTATATCGTCCTGGACGACATCGACTTGGACTATTTCCCGTCCTATAAGTCGTTCTTCGGTGGCCAGAAGGAGTTCGAGGTGACGGATAAGTACGTCAGCAAGATGACGGTGAGGTGGGGCAAGCCATGTATATGGCTTAGTAACGAGGATCCGAGGTTGAAGAAGATAGATCGACCTTGGATAGAAGCTAACTGCATCTTCGCGGAGGTGACCAACCCGCTGTACGATGTAGATGATGGCAATGTGCCGATCGTGGAGGAGGAGGAGAGAGCATATGGTCCTCTCATCGAAGATGAAGACCCAACAGTGTATCTAGAAGATATACCTGTCATTAGAAATGGACAGATCATGTAAATATTACATATTTATTTTAAGAGGGACGCCTGCCTTCGCTAGCGTCTTGGTTGATGAACGTGTCAATAACGTGATATAGCGTGTGGTGAGATAGTCGTTGTGCTTAGACGGTTGGCGCACAAGTACCGAGACAGAATATATTCCCCAATCCTAACCATTCTAACAAAGCCTAACCTCTAAGCCTAACGAACCTAACCTCTAACGGGCTAACCTAACGAACCTAACCTAACGCTAACCTAACATGCTAGCGCATCGACGGTCCGGCGTAGGTAGAGGTTGGGACGGTTGAGGTTGGCGCACAAGTACCGAGACAGAATATATTCCCCAATCCTAACCATTCTAACAAAGCCTAACCTCTAAGCCTAACGAACCTAACCTCTAACGGGCTAACCTAACGAACCTAACCTAACGCTAACCTAACATGCTAACGCATCGACGGTCCGGCGTAGGTAGAGGTTGGGACGGTTGAGGTTGGCATCAGACACACAAAAGAAGTGGAGTGATTTGTCTGGTTAATTCCGATAACGAACGAGACCTTGACCTGCTAAATAGCCGCGCCGGCTTTCGCTGGCGTCAGGCTTCTTAGAGGGACTGTCGGCGTCTAGCCGACGGAAGTTTGAGGCAATAACAGGTCTGTGATGCCCTTAGATGTTCTGGGCCGCACGCGCGCTACACTGACAGAGCCAGCGAGTTTTTTTCCTTGGCCGGAAGGCTCTTGTCTTGTGCTCCTCTGTCGTGCTGGGGATAGAGCATTGCAATTATTGCTCTTCAACGAGGAATTCCTAGTAAGCGCGAGTCATCAGCTCGCGTTGATTACGTCCCTGCCCTTTGTACACACCGCCCGTCGCTACTACCGATTGAACGGCTTAGTGAGGTCTCCGGATCGGCTTCGGGGAGCCGGCGACGTTTTATGGGCTCATTCATTTTCATTCGCCGACTATCTTTCCGATTTGTGTGTGGGGTCAGTCGGTCGCTTGCAGCTAATGGGACTGAGTGTCGTCCGAGAAAAATAATCAAATTCAACTTCGTACTACAAGCATTACATACATTACATCCTAACTAAGTATGGGAACCGAGTCCGCATTGTTGCGGAAGCAAAAGTCTATTTGCGGAGCTACCTCAAGCCAGGCATATTGCGGACCTACGAAGGAAGGATCGATGACGACATCTGGTTCGTCATCATCAGGGGGATCATCGCCGTGATCTTCTTCTTCTTTATCCTTGGCGCGGCCACCAGCTTGACTGGCGCTGTCACCAGGATCAACAGGAGGAGGTTTAGCCTCTTTCGGCTTGAACCGCTTCAATCGGTCCTTATAGTCAGGGTGGGTGGAGTGCCTATGAGCCGGGAATTGACCATACGTGGTCGGAAGATGTTCTTCCGGCTTGTGGCTGTCCGATATCTCTTCGGCAGAAGGATACAGATATGGATACGGTCCGGGGACCGTAGCATGAGCAAGGATCATGACATACAACTTCTTGAACGGATAGAGTTTGTTGCGATACACTCCCGAGTTCGCAACCTCATTCATGACTTCATCGCTGGGATTGGGAAAGATGGAAGGGACAGCGGCCCCGCGAGTGAAGGTAGTGTTGTACTTCGAAGGATACTTGTACACCCGATGGGCGTGCCTCGAAATATTGATGTGGGCATTCTTCACGACCTTCGAACCGTTGCGTTTGTTGTATATATGATCGTGGATCATAGTGATCTTGGACTCGTCAAATACAGGACGGCCTTTCATGAGATCCTCCCTCCTGGTCTGCGTGATGTTCCGAGAGTCCTGCCACGTTTTCCAAGGAAGATTGGACCGGACCTCTTCGCCGTAACCGGTCTCACAGGTCTGAACGGTGTCTTCAAACCCGACGGGAAATTGGTTGAGGGTGGGATCGGAGAACAACATCCTGGAAGTCACGAATGACTCATCAGGAAGTTCCCGGTGCTCAAAGATCATGACTCTGATGCGCCACGCGCTGCCGGCGCTGAGACGCATGAAGAGGTTGATGTAGAGTCCGGTGAGAGTGACCGTGTCGCTATGGCGATGCATCCGAACAAATCTGTCCGTAGTGAACGGAATGCAATTGACCGGATTGGTGGCCCAAAACTCGACAAAAGAGCTAAGAGGAGTGGTCGAGGTCTTGTGCGTCGTGGAAAACAGCAACGGCTTGATCTCAGCAAGGACGTTGGAATGGGACTTGTGGTTGACGCCCGTAACGAACTTAATACGGGTGATATTCTTTTTGGACGTATCAAGAACGCCCTTCTTGCGAAGACCGCGAATACCCCGACGGGGCTTCCGAGCGTAACGACCAGGACGACGAGTGGTCGTCTTGGCGTACTTCCTGGCTTTTTTGCGGTATGTTTTCTTGTACCGCTTGACATAAGTTCGCTTCCGCTTAGGGTAGCTTCGGGAGGAGTACCCCGGCTTACGCCGAGGAGCCTTCCGTCGAGAAAACTTAATAACCATATATAGGGTTTGTTGTTATCTCCAAACGAGGAGATGAGAGTTCAAGACAAGAACAACACAACTTAGTTTCACACAGTTCGCAGAACGAATTTTATTTATAGGCCATTTTGGCCACGCTGACTAATACAAATAAAAAAAAAACTAGAACCCCCGGCGCTCCTCAATGAGGGCCGCAAATCCACCCCTGGTGGGAGCAGCGTAGGAGATGTCCTCCGCCATGTAAGCACTAACCCTAAAAAAAGCTGCCTGCAGCTCCTCATAGTAGTACTTAGCTACCAAGTGGCCTATGTAGTCGGTCCTAAGTCCGTCTACACTACTGTAGCTATTCATGAGGGGGTCCACGTTCCGGGGGGTCATTTGCGGCATCGACATGAAGATGATGCGTCTAATGGCCTCACGGAGGCTTTTCCTACCCGCCGCCGATATGGGCTGACGTGGTGCGCGCCGGCGGCGGCGTGAGGGCGGGTGGTAGGGGGGAGAGTCTGACGGGGTCGAAGGTGATAGGCGTCCCTCTGAAGGGGTCGACGCTGGGGCCGGGGAATCGGACTCCGACTGCGCCCGCGACCTGGCCCAAGGAGCCGGGGTGGGGGGGCGATGGTGCTCCCAGCGAGCGTCGGAGGAATGGGCGGAATGAACGGGACTCCCTGCATCTCTGCGGGATCCTCTTCGATCATCTCCTCCCCTGGGAGGGGAGGATCCGGAAGAGGACGACCCAACAACAGACCGGTTGCCAGATCCAACTCCACCTTCAGATCCACCGCTTCCTGCCGTGCGGTACGCAGGCGAGTCTGCAGACTCCTCTTCTGAATCGTCAGGTCCTGAGCCCTCTGACGATGTATCTCCAACTGATACTTGGCGTTGATGACCGCAGCCCCGCGGGTGAGCTCCCGGGACTGCAGAGCCCGCACAACGCGGTCCTGAGCATTGAGCTGAGCGTTCAAACACCACGTGCACCTGGACAGGATGTGGGGACTCGCGTACGCCGCCTCTTGCGAGAAGCGTTTCCAAGGGCACTGCCTACAAATCGATTAGAAAAGTTTAAAAGGTTATTAAAATACTCACCGACCTCTCAAGGGGGGAGAAGGCCGCCTGGCGCTCAAGTCGCTCAACGCGACGAATCGCCTGGAACGTGACGGAGCCATCCTCAGGCTCAGGGGCGAGGTCGTGGACGGAGGTGACCTCATCCAGCTTGAGGTCGGAGTAGTGGGGGCCCTTGTAGGCGTGAATGTGGGGGGCGAACTGGGTGGGCATCACGGGCTGCGCCGCCGCTCTGTACACCAGGGATGAGGCGAGGTTAAAAAGAGAATAAGGAAATACTAACGGTTGGGGGGAGGGGGACATATCCACCTCTTCCTCCTTGACAGTGGTGAGGGGCTGGTTCTGGGCGTAGTCGGAAGGCATTGCGATGATTGTAGCGGTAACGATGTAAGTTGTGCTGGATATTTCCGAGGAAAGCGTCGGCCTTTTAAACGGGGTTTGGATCTCCGCCCAATTAAATAATGGTACGATGTTTATTATAAACGAAATGACGCGATACGACATTATCGTACGATGCCGGGGATCGGTGACAGCGTGGGTGGCGAGGAGGGGATAGAGCGGTGGCGACGGAAGAACTATTCTTAGAGTCAGACGTGGGATGTAGATTATTATAGACGACGAGGGTTTTAGAAGAGAGACGAACGGCGCTTCTATCTCCACAGCCTGTTTCCACGGCTTTAGAAGCGAGCGTGAGAGGTCTCTCACGTCGGGATTCCTCCGTGACAGCGTGGGTTCGTTCCGTTAGAGCGGAAAGAACACGTATACGACATTTGATGAAGGAAGCGAGCCATGGGAATTCTCCCACATCAAAAACAAGCGGTGCTTGGGAATTCTCTCACACTACGTAACTCCGTGAGACTCGAAATACCTTCTTTCCATTAATAGCGCAGGGAATACTACTAACTTGGAAAGGGATTTGGGGTCGTCCACGGACAACTACCACATATAGTAAACTCACACGAAATCGAGCGATCCTATTGGTCGCTAGGTGGACATTGACCATATTAAGACGGGTACATTACCAAATAAGGAGTGGGTATGGGTAGACCGAGAACCCTTTCAATGTTATATAAGGGTTCTCGGCGTCTACCACATATAAAAGGCGTGGCCTTTGACCCACTGTTCCGACATTCCCCACCAACGATGTTTCGTCCTTCCGCTTGACTCAGGCCCCTGGCCCTTCGACTCAGCCCTTCGCTGCACATCGTCTCAGATAGAGGCATTTTCTCAACCCCCCTTCGCCGTCGCCCGTGATCGAGTGGTCGCCGACGCCATCGGCGCAGCCTCGACGCCTCGCACCTCGACCTCGGGTGCTAGTACCCGCGACGCCGGAGCCATCTCAGGCGTCCAGTTTGGTCCAACGCACGCAGACGCAGCGGGGGGCACGCCGGCAGGCGGGTAGGAGCGCGCCAGGCACGCGCTTCCGCTTCTCCGCCGCAAAGTATTTTATGACGTACTCTCAGGTAATTTTGAAGAAATTGGAATCAATTTGGTTCAAATATTAACGTTCTAAAGATAGGTGACGTCGACAACGGCACTTTGTGCCGCTTCTTCGCCGACTTCTCCGTGCCTATCAAGCACTGGAAGGCGGTGGAGGAGCATCACGTGGACGGTGGACGGCATTGGCACGTCATCGTCGTGTTCGAGACCGCATTCCGTGGTAGGAACGAGCGGATATTCGACATAGAAGGTATACATCCGAACATACAGTGTGCGTACCTCCATTCTGATCTATTTATAAACCTGACTTCTTTTCACAGCATCAGCGGCAACAAGGACCTTCTCGCCAAGTGGAATTACATCCACAAGGAAGAAGGCGCCGCCTTGCTCGGCCCTTGGGAGGGACCCGAGCCGATTACCGTCGATACCGACATCAAGAAGAAGGACGACCGATGGGCCCACATCCTCGAGGCCTCTTCGGCCGACGAGTTCATGGAACGAGCGCGTGCACTGGCCCCCTACGATTACACGATCAACCACGATCGGATAATCAGTATAGGAATACGTACTTCCCCGAGGCTAAACCGCAGTTCGTGCCGGAGAGCATCGACTTTCCGCACGTGACAGCGGAGATGGAGGAGTGGGTCGAGACCCAGTTCCATAACAGGGATAGGCCCAAGTGCCTCGTCCTGTACGGTCCCTCTAGGACGGGGAAGACTCAGTGGGCGCGTGCGCTCAATCACATCATCGCTCGCCAGGAAGGGGTCGACGACCCTTGTCATATCGGTACGTAGTTTACCGGTTTGAATCATTTTATCGCAACTCACGTCTTTCAGGGCACACATGTTTATATGGGCCAACCAGTTCAAACGCCAAGAAGATTGACGAGACGGCGAAGTATATCGTCCTGGACGACATCGACTTGGACTATTTCCCGTCCTATAAGTCGTTCTTCGGTGGCCAGAAGGAGTTCGAGGTGACGGATAAGTACGTCAGCAAGATGACGGTGAGGTGGGGCAAGCCATGTATATGGCTTAGTAACGAGGATCCGAGGTTGAAGAAGATAGATCGACCTTGGATAGAAGCTAACTGCATCTTCGCGGAGGTGACCAACCCGCTGTACGATGTAGATGATGGCAATGTGCCGATCGTGGAGGAGGAGGAGAGAGCATATGGTCCTCTCATCGAAGATGAAGACCCAACAGTGTATCTAGAAGATATACCTGTCATTAGAAATGGACAGATCAATGTAAATATTACATATTTAATTTTAAGAGGGACGCCTGCCTTCGCTAGCGTCTTGGTTGATGAACGTGTCAATAACGTGATATACGTGTGGTGAGATAGTCGTTGTGCTTAGACGTTGGCGCACAAGTACCGAGACAGAATATATTCCCCAATCGCTAACCATTCCTAACAAAGCCTAACCTCTAAGCCTAACGAACCTAACCTCTAACGGGCTAACCTAACGAACCTAACCTAACGCTAACCTAACATGCTAGCGCATCGACGGTCCGGCGTAGGGTAGAGGTTGGGAACGGTTTGAGGTTGGCGCACAAGTACCGAGACAGAATATATTCCCCCAATCCTAACCATTCTAACAAAGCCTAACCTCTAAGCCTAACGAACCTAACCTCTAACGGGCTAACCTAACGAACCTAACCTAACGCTAACCTAACATGCTAACGCATCGACGGTCCGGCGTAGGTAGAGGTTGGGGACGGTTGAGGTGGCATCAGACACACAAAAGAAGTGGAGTGATTTGTCTGGTTAATTCCGATAACGAACGAGACCTTGACCTGCTAAATAGCCGCGCCGGCTTTCGCTGGCGTCAGGCTTCTTAGAGGACTGTCGGCGTCTAGCCGACGGAAGTTTGAGGCAATAACAGGTCCTGTGATGCCCTTAGATGTTCTGGGCCGCACTGCTCGCTACACTGACATAGCCAGCGAGTTTTTTTCCTTGGCCGGAAGGCCTCGGGTAATCTTGTGAACTCTGTCGTGCTGGGGATAGAGCATTGCAATTATTGCTCTTCAAACGAGGAATTCCTAGTAAGCGCGAGTCCATCAGCTCGCGTTGATTACGTCCCTTGCCCTTTGTACACACCGCCCGTCGCTACCTAAACCGATTGAACGGCTTAGTGAGGTCTCGCGGATCGGCTTCGGGGAGCCGGCGACGTTTTATGGGCTCATTCATTTTCATTCGCCGACTATCTTTCCGATTTGTGTGTGGGGTCAGTCGGTCGCTTGCAGCTAATGGGACTGAGTGTCGTCCGAGAAAAATAATCAAATTCAACTTCGTACTACAAGCATTACATACATTACATCCTAACTAAGTATGGGAACCGAGTCCGCATTGTTGCGGAAGCAAAAGTCTATTTGCGGAGCTACCTCAAGCCAGGCATATTGCGGACCTACGAAGGAAGGATCGATGACGACATCTGGTTCGTCATCATCAGGGGGATCATCGCCGTGATCTTCTTCTTCTTTATCCTTGGCGCGGCCACCAGCTTGACTGGCGCTGTCACCAGGATCAACAGGAGGAGGTTTAGCCTCTTTCGGCTTGAACCGCTTCAATCGGTCCTTATAGTCAGGGTGGGTGGAGTGCCTATGAGCCGGGAATTGACCATACGTGGTCGGAAGATGTTCTTCCGGCTTGTGGCTGTCCGATATCTCTTCGGCAGAAGGATACAGATATGGATACGGTCCGGGGACCGTAGCATGAGCAAGGATCATGACATACAACTTCTTGAACGGATAGAGTTTGTTGCGATACACTCCCGAGTTCGCAACCTCATTCATGACTTCATCGCTGGGATTGGGAAAGATGGAAGGGACAGCGGCCCGCGAGTGAAGGTAGTGTTGTACTTCGAAGGATACTTGTACACCCGATGGGCGTGCCTCGAAATATTGATGTGGGCATTCTTCACGACCTTCGAACCGTTGCGTTTGTTGTATATATGATCGTGGATCATAGTGATCTTGGACTCGTCAAATACAGGACGGCCTTTCATGAGATCCTCCCTCCTGGTCTGCGTGATGTTCCGAGAGTCCTGCCACGTTTTCCAAGGAAGATTGGACCGGACCTCTTCGCCGTAACCGGTCTCACAGGTCTGAACGGTGTCTTCAAACCCGACGGGAAATTGGTTGAGGGTGGGATCGGAGAACAACATCCTGGAAGTCACGAATGACTCATCAGGAAGTTCCCGGTGCTCAAAGATCATGACTCTGATGCGCCACGCGCTGCCGGCGCTGAGACGCATGAAGAGGTTGATGTAGAGTCCGGTGAGAGTGACCGTGTCGCTATGGCGATGCATCCGAAACAAATCTGTCCGTAGTGAACGGAATGCAATTGACCGGATTGGTGGCCCAAAACTCGACAAAAGAGCTAAGAGGAGTGGTCGAGGTCTTGTGCGTCGTGGAAAACAGCAACGGCTTGATCTCAGCAAGGACGTTGGAATGGGACTTGTGGTTGACGCCCGTAACGAACTTAATACGGGTGATATTCTTTTTGGACGTATCAAGAACGCCCTTCTTGCGAAGACCGCGAATACCCCGACGGGGCTTCCGAGCGTAACGACCAGGACGACGAGTGGTCGTCTTGGCGTACTTCCTGGCTTTTTTGCGGTATGTTTTCTTGTACCGCTTGACATAAGTTCGCTTCCGCTTAGGGTAGCTTCGGGAGGAGTACCCCGGCTTACGCCGAGGAGCCTTCCGTCGAGAAAACTTAATAACCATATATAGGGTTTGTTGTTATCTCCAAACGAGAATGAAGTTCAAGACAAGCAACACACAACTTAGTTTCACACAGTTCGCAGAACGAATTTTATTTATAGGCCATTTTGGCCACGCTGACTAATCAAATAAAAAAAAACTAGAACCCCCCGGCGCTCCTCAATGAGGGCCGCAAATCCACCCCTGGTGGAGCAGCGTAGGAGATGTCCTCCGCCATGTAAAGCACTAACCCTAAAAAAAGCTGCCTGCAGCTCCATAGTAGTACTTAGCTACCAATGGCCTATGTAGTCGGTCCTAAGTCCGTCTACACTACTGTAGCTATTCATGAGGGGGCCACGTTCCGGGGGGTCATTTGCGGCATCGACATGAAGATGATGCGCTAATGGCCTCACGGAGGCTTTTCCTACCCGCCGCCGATATGGGCTACGTGGTGCGCCCGGCGGCGGCGTGAGGGCGGGTGGTAGGGGGGAGAGTCTGACGGGGTCGAAGGTGATAGGCGTCCCTCTGAAGGGGTCGACGCTGGGCCGGGGAATCGACTCCGACTGCGCCCGCGACTGGCCCAGGAGCCGGGGTGGGGGGGCGATGGTGCTCCCATCGCGAGCGTCGGAGGAATGGGCGGAATGAACGGGACTCCCTGCATCTCTGCGGGGATCCTCTTCGATCATCTCCTCCCTGGGAGGGGAGGATCCGGAAGAGGACGACCCAACAACAGACCGTTGCCGATCCAACTCCACCTTCCAGATCCACCGCTTCCTGCCGTGCGGTACGCGGGCGAGGCAGTCTGCAGCTCCTCTTCTGAATCGTCAGGTCCTGAGCCCCTGACGTGTATCTCCAACTGATACTTGGCGTTGATGACCGCAGCCCCCCGCGGGTGAGCTCCCGGGACTGCAGAGCCCGCACAACGCGGTCCTGAGCATTGAGCTGAGCGTTCAAACACCACCAGTGCACCTGGACAGGATGTGGGACTCGCGTACGCCCCTCTTGCGAGAAGCGTTTCCAAGGGCACTGCCTACAAATCGATTAGAAAAGTTTAAAGGTTATTAAAATACTCACCACCTCTCAAGGGGGGAAGCCGCCTGGCGCTCAAGTCGCTCAACGCGACGAATCGCCTGGAACGTGACGGAGCCATCCTCAGGCGCAGGGCGAGGTCGTGGACGGAGGTGACCTCATCCAGCTTGAGGTCGGAGTAGTGGGGGCCCTTGTAGGCTGAATGTGGGGGGCGAACTGGTGGGCATCACGGGCTGCGCCGCCGCTCTGTACACCAGGGATGAGGCGAGGTTAAAAAGAGAATAAGGAAATACTAACGGTTGGGGGAGGGGGACATATCCACCTCTTCCTCCTTGACAGTGGTGAGGGGCTGGTTCTGGGCGTAGTCGGAAGGCATTGCGATGATTGTAGCGGTAACGATGTAGTTTGTGCTGGATATTTCCGAGGAAAGCGTCGGCCTTTTAAACGGGGTTTGGATCTCCGCCCAATTAAATAATGGTACGATGTTTTATTATAAACGAAATGACGCGATACGACATTATCGTACGATGCCGGGGATCGGTGACAGCTGGGGGCGAGGAGGGGATGAGCGGTGGCGACGGAAGAACTATTCTTAGAGTCAGACGTGGGATGTAGATTATTATAGACGACGAGGGTTTTAGAAGAGAGACGAACGGCGCTTCTATCTCCACAGCCTGTTTCCACGGCTTTAGAAGCGAGCGTGAGAGGTCTCTCACGTCGGGATTCCTCCGTGACAGCGTGGGTTCGTTCCGTTAGAGCGGAAAGAACACGTATACGACATTTGACGAAGGAAGCGAGCCATGGGAATTCTCCCACATCAAAAACAAGCGGTGCTTGGGAATTCTCTCACACTACGTAACTCCGTGAGACTCGAAATACCTTCTTTCCATTAATAGCGCAGGGAATACTACTAACTTTGGAAAGGGATTTGGGGTCGTCCACGGACAACTACCACATATAGTAAACTCACACGAAATCGAGCGATCCTATTGGTCGCTAGGTGGACATTGACCATATTAAGACGGGTACATTACCAAATAAGGAGTGGGTATGGGTAGACCGAGAACCCTTTCAATGTTATATAAGGGTTCTCGGCGTCTACCACATATAAAGGCGTGCCTTTGACCCACTGTTCCGACATTCCCCACCAACGATGTTTTCGTCCTTCCGCTTGACTCAGGCCCCTGGCCCTTCGACTCAGCCCTTCGCTGGCACATCGTCTCAGATAGAGGCATTTTCTCAACCCCCTTCGCCGTCGCCCGTGATCGAGTGGTCGCCGACGCCATCGGCGCAGCCTCGACGCCTCGCACCTCGACCTCGGGTGCTAGTACCCGCGACGCCGGAGCCATCTCAGGCGTCCAGTTTGGTCCAACGCACGCAGACGCAGCGGGGGGCACGCCGGCAGGCGGGTAGGAGCGC